CCAGGGCAGCGTTTCGTAGCCCCATAGGGAGCTCCACCGAAGGCCCCAGTTGGGGTGTTCGCATGCGGTTCCCCCACCCAGGGCAGCGTTTCGTGGCCCCATAGGGAGCTCCACCGAAGGCCCCAGTGGGGGTGTTCGCATGCGGTTCCCCCACCCAGGGCAGCGTTTCGTAGCCCCATAGGGAGCTCCACTGAAGGCCCCAGTGGGGGTGTTCGAATGCGGTTCCCCCACTCAGGGCAGCGTTTCGTGGCCCCATAGGGAGCTCCACCGAAGGCCCCAGTGGGGGTGTTCGCATGCGGTTTCCCCACCCAGGGCAGCGCTTCGTGGCCCCATAGGGAGCTCCACCGAAGGCCCCAGTGGCTGCTCTCGCATGCGGTTCCCCCACCCAGGGCAGCGTTTTCGTGGCCCCATAGGAGGCTCCGCCGATGGCCCCAGTAGGGGGGGCGCATGCGGTTCCCCACCCAGGGCAGCGCTTCGTGGCCCCATAGGGAGCTCCGCCGATGGCCCCAGTGGGGGAGGTCGCATGCGGTTTTCCCCACCCAGGGCAGCGTTTCGTGGCCCCATAGGGAGCTCCGCCGATGGCCCCAGTGGGGGGGCGCATGCGGTTCCCCACCCAGGGCAGCGTTTCGTGTCCCCATAGGGAGCTCACGAAGGCCCGGGGGGGTTCCATAGGGAGCTCCACGAAGGCCCCAGTGCTGCTCTCGCATGCGGTTCCTCCCACAGGGCAGTCGTTTCGTGGCCATAGGGCGCTCCACGGCGGCCCCCCAGTGGCTGCTCTCGCATGCGGTTCCCCACCCAGGGCAGCGCTTCGTGGCCCAGGGGAGCTCCACGAAAGCCCGTGGGCAGTTGCATAGCGCTTCCCCACCAGGCAGCGTTTCGTGGACCATAGGAGTCCACGAAAGGCCCAGTGGCGCAGTTCGCATGCGGTTCCCCCACCCAGGGCAGCGTTTCGTAGCCCCATAGGGAGCTCCACCGAAGGCCCGCCCCGGTGGCGCAGTCCGCGTGCGGTTCCCCCATCCAAGGCAGCGCTTCGTGGCCCCATATGGAGCCCCACCGAAAGCGGCACCCACAACGCGTTACCAACAATTGCTTATGGTTGGGTCTTTCGCCAGGATATTTTTTTTTTTCTCTCTTTCTCTCTCTCTCTCTATGCCTCTAATCAACCGCCCCCCTCTTCGCTCCTTCTCTCCTGGCGTTTTCCCTCTTCCTTCGTCCCCCCCTCCCTTCCTCCCACTCTCCCTCGTTCTCCTTCTCCTCCTTTTGCAGGGCCCACACCACTTCCAATGGCGGGCACATGTACGCCCACGAAGGATTGTCCGCCCGTTCAGGTTTGCCCGCCTGTCTAAGCCCACCGCCCCCCGCAAAGAGAAATAATCCCCCCAAAGGGGGTGTGATCGAAGACAACAAGGTCGAGGGTGTGGGGCATTCGTTTTGAGTGACACAGGGGCAAGTCAGAGCGAACAGTCTTAGAATGATCGTTGTTGTTGAATTTATTTTCCTGGCGCTCTGGAGCCGCGCTCTCGCTGGAGACTTGCTTGCAATTTACTGAAGAATAGCGCCCTTGCGTTGGAATTTCTTGCAATTTGCTCAATCGACGCGCTCCCGACACCCAGGCACCCAGGAGTCGCGCTCACGCTTAGGACTCCCTCACATATCACATAAGAATCGGGATCTCGCTGCCCTTCGTGGCCCCGTTGCAGCCCTTCGTGGCCCCGTTGCTTTGTTTCGTGGCCCCGCTGCAGCCTTTCGTGGTCCACTAGCTGCCCTTCGTGGCCCGGTTGCAGCCCCTCGTGGCCTCCTCGCTGCCTTTCGCGGCCCCGTTGCAGTCCTTCTTGGCCCCCTCGCTTTGTTTCGTGGCCCCGTTGCAGCCCTTCGTGGCCCCGTCGCAGCCCTTCGTGGTCCCGTTGCGGCCCTTCGTGGCCCCGTGGTCGCCTTTTGTGGCCCCCTCGCTGCCCTTCGTGGCCCCATGCGCATTCCCTTCGTGTCCCCGCTGTTGCCCTTCGTGGCCCCTTATATGTATGCCCTTCGTGGCCCCCGCTCGTTCGCGCGACCGTGGTGGCCCCATATGCATCTGTTCTACGTGGCCCAGTTGCTACCCTCAGTGGCCCCATCGTTGCTTTTTGTGCCCCCGCATTATCTGCCCTTCGTGGCCCCCGCTCGTTCGCGCTCTTCGTGGCCCCATACGCATTCCCTTCGTGTCCCCGCTGTTGCCCTTCGTGGCCTATTTCTTGTACTGAAGGAGGCGGAGGATGAGGATGAGGATGGGGAGTCGGATGATGATGACGATGATGATGATGAGGAGGACGAGGAGGAGGAGGAGGAGGAGGAGGAGGAAGAGGAGGAAAAGAGGAGGTGGAGGTGGAGGTGGAGGTGGAGGTGAAGGAGGAGGAGCAGGAGGAGGAGGAGGAGAAGGCGGAGGAGGAGGAGAAGGAGTATTATTATTATTATTATTGGCATTCTGACTATTATTATTATTAGTAGTTGTCGTCGTAGTGGTAGT